CGGCTAAAATTCCAGTCACGGTTGTCCCAATGTTAGACCCTAAGGTCATGGGGTACATCCTCTCTATAGAAACAATACCAACTCCCACTAGAGGTGTCAAGGTCGACGTGAAAACCTAGGGAGAATTCATTTTTTCAAATGGTAAGAGAATCGTACGCAATTAATTTAAGGTCATTCTAGTAATCTGCATTAAGAGAACCTTAATATGTACTATGTAAGCGACATTGTAACTAGTAATAATATTTTTCCCCGTACTTTAAATTGTTTGATGCAATAGAGTTGCATGACAAAAAACCATTGCGCACCTAATGAACGTGATGACGCATGTCTAATACTGCGAAATAGTTTGATGAAACAGCCTACTAATTTGGACAAAATTGTAATTAATTCATAGGAAAATAATTAGGCATCCATTTAAGTCAAATTTAATGTCATGTTGTATTGTCTTCATGTCTTGACCCACGTACCAACAATGAACCGAATCTATCACTTAGAAGTGCCCGAATTTTCGCTCGGGTGTTTCGATCTAGACAGACAGACTGACGACAGAGGAAGCAAGTTAAATAAAAGCATGTAAAAAATTCATTAAAAATGTTTTTTTTAAACAAGCTTTTATGTAATAATGCACTCAATAGTAGAAAATAAATTATACACTACTATTTAAATAACTATAAAGAAAAGCATGGGCAACTTTAGTATCTATTGGATACCTTTACTAATGTTTAGGAAGAGAACCACGCGTTTCTTTATAGTTATTTAAATAGTTGTCTATAATTTATTTTCTACTCTTTAGTGCATTATTACATAAAAGCTTGTTATTATAACTTTTTTTATGAATTTTTTCAGTACTTTACATGTTTTATTTACACTAGAGTTGCATGACGAAAAACCATTGCGCACCTATTGAACGTGATGACACAATTTTAAACGTGATGACGCGTGTATAACATTGCGGAGTCGTTGGATAAGACTGCCTACTAATTTGGACAAAATTTCAATTAATTCGTAAAAAAAAAATTAATCAGGCGACCAATTAAGTCAAATTGAATGTCAGATTGCATTGTCTTTATGCCTTGACCCACGTACCAATTACGAACCGTATCTGCCAGTTAGAAGTGCCTGCAATTTTGCTCGGGTGTTTCGATCTAGATAGACAGACAGACGAGGAAGTGAGTTAAATAAAAGCTTGTAATAAAATTTTTTTTCCATAAAAATTGTTTTAATAACAAACTTTTATGTACTAATGCACTAAAAAGTATAGAATAAATTATAGACTACTATTTAAATAACTATAAAGAAAAACGTGGGTCACTTTAGTATCTATTGGATACCTTTACTAATGTTTAGGAGGAGACCCACGCTTTTTTAAATAGTTATTTAAATAGTAGTCTATAATTTATTTTCTAATTTTTAGTGCATTAGTACATAAAATTAAAAGCTTGTTATTAATTAATTCATAAAAAATTAATTAGGCATCCAATTAAGTCACATTTAATTTCAGATTACAGTCTTCTTGTCTTGACCCACGTACCAATTACGAACCGTATCTGTCAGTTAGAAGTGTCCGAATTTTCGTTCCGGCGTTTTGATCTAGACTGACGACAGACAGACAGAGGAAGTGAGTTAAATAAAAGCTTGTAAAAAAAACTTGTTATTAAAACGTTTTTATGACATTTTTTTTAGTACTTTACAATGCATGTTTAATAAAAGTAAAAGCTTGTAAAAAGACATTTTCCCCTTGTGTTATGTATATCATGGTTACGCCCCTTGAGTGTTCACTGTGTCTTCAGTGATGTGTAGTTGATTATGTGTACATGTAGTTAGTTGACTACAGATAGACCCAGAGACAAGACGTCTCGCCTACGCTGTCTATTATAATAAAGTACTAAGGTTAATTCGGAGAACTGTTGTCTGTAGACGTCTCGCCTACGCTGTCTATTATAATAAAGTACTAAGGTTAATTCGGAGAACTGTTGTCTGTGTAAGAAATGTAACAGTAATAGGCGTTAGGCTAAATACATTTAACCTTTTACAATTATAAGAATCGGGTAGAGAAGTGGGTTTTTTTTCAAATACTCACGAGAAACCCTGCACATGATTTTCTTACCGAACTGCTTTGAATCAACATAGTCATTCCACAACCCACAAGTAGGGCCACGTAACCAGTTAAATAGGCCAGGCGCCCAGGGAAATCTGCATTTAAAGTTTTTCTTATTACTTTTGCCACAGATCCCTAAGAAGAAAATTGAAACAATGGTAAAAAAAAAAATCTCAAGTTAACTTAAAATTCATAATCTATTTTACGATATAAATATAGTTTAAGTTTAGTAATCTTTTATCTAATTTTTTTTTTTTAGTTTTATGGAACGCTAGCCGCTAGTTTGGCACTTTGAATGCAACTTTTCTATGTCGTAAAATAAAATTATAAAACAGAACAGCCAAAAAAAAAACATAAAAAAAACGTTTTAATAACAAGTTTTTATGTAACAATGCACTAAAAAGTAGAAAATAAATTATAGGCCTACACTACTATTTAAAAACAATTTTAAAAAACGTGGGTCTCTTCCTAAATATTAGTAAAGGTATCCAATGGATACTAAAATGACCAACGCTTTTCTTTATAGTTTTTTAATTAGTATAGTATAATTTATTTTCTACTTTTAGTGCATGTGTACATAAAAGTTTGTTATTAAATTAATTTAAACGTTTTTAATGAATTTTTTTCAACGATTGAAAGTTTTAAAATTTACAATAGAGTTGCATGACTAAAACCCATTGCGCACCCAATGAAAGTGATGACGCGTGTATAATAGTACGGAGTAGTCGGGTAAGACCTACTTCTAATTTTGTAAATATTTTAATTAATTCAAAAATAATAAATTAGGCAACCAATTAAGTCACATTTAATGTTAAGTTGCATTGTCTTCATGTATTGATCCACGTACCAACTACGAGCCGCATCTGTCAGTTAGAAGTGCCCGTAATTTCACTCGAGCTTTTCCATTTAGATTGACGACAGACCGACAGAGACAGTGAGTTAAATAAAAGCTTGTAAAAACAAACCCACAATAATCAAATACTACTGTAATCACCAATGGTTATTATGTTAGAGGTTCACGTAATGATTAATTAATGAGCTAGTCATATTTTTAAATATCTTAAGCATTGGTTAGTCAAATGTCAGTCATATTGGTTAGTAAAATGTTTATTGCTGTAATTGGTCAGTCAAATGTTTATAGATGTAGTTGGTCAGTAAAATATTTATTTTTGTGTCACACACTATGTAAGCTACTTGGCTAATAAAGTTGGAGTTACCTCCCCTAAACTTTCTCATAATATATTCTTATAGTTTACTAAGGCAGATGGCACTGCCAGTGAAATCGGGATATAGAAATGTTTATTGTTTTAAAAATAATTTTTTACACTTAAAATAAATTGCGCACCAAATGAACGCATAAAATATAGCGCGGAAAATTATAACTTTATTAAGGAAAAATTAAATGATTTTTAAAAAGTTAATTAAACATCTAATTAAGTCACAATTAAATGTCACAGTTCATGGCTTTGAGTCTTTACATGCTTGAAAAGTTTGAAACAAATCGGTCCAGTTGAAGAGATATTTTTATAGAAATCGGACATACCGTAAAGTTCTACTTCCGGTCTCCAAAAATCACCCAAAATAAGAAAGATTTAAGACAATAAGATCTTAGATCTATACCTATGTATAAAATTTCGTTCTCCCAAATGAAACGGTACATACATTAACGGTATGGAGAGTAAAATACCACTTCCGGTTATCGGATGTCACAAAAAATAAACCGGGAGTGATCTCCCTTAAACTTTCTCGAACATTTTTATATAACACTACGGGGGATGGCAACTCGAGATATAGACAATATTACTTTCTCGTATATACGAAGTATAGAGAAAGTCTTGTAATCGTCCAAAAAAAATCGAGATTTTTACATATCTCGACGTTTTACACCTCACTGATACGGAAAAACATAATTTTGCAATCTTGTCCGTATGTCTGTGTGTGTGTGTCTGTGTGGTTGTCTATGTGTGTGTAAACACGATAACTTGAGTACCGTTACAGCAAGGTTAATGAAATTTCATATATAAGTATTTTATCAAAATCGTAGATCCATTTCAACTTTTGAGCGATTTCCGATAGCCGGAAGTGGTACTTTTTCTACTTTGAATTTTTCAAAAGCCTATTACTTGAGTACTATTTCAGATAGATAAATGAAATTTCACATGTAAAAAAAAAGATCTAATTCTCTACCTTCTTTCAAATTTTGAGTTATTTCCGTACTAATTTACGTTATTTCTATTACGAATTCTCAAAAAACGCATGTAAATTTATAAGGTACTAATAATATTGCGCACTATTATGCACATTTTGTTTTGGCGTTCGCTTGGTGTGCAATTCTTTTTTTTTACTAGATTTTATTCTATTTTTAAAAGTTTAAGTAAATAAAAATCATGTCTATATTGCGAGTTGCCATCCCACGTAGTGTTATATTTTAGAATATTCTAGAAAGTTTAGGGGCCAGGTTTATTAATTAATTAAACTTTTAAAAATATAATAGAATCGCGTAGAAAAAAGAATTGCGCACCATGTGAACGCCAAACCAAATGGGTATGATAGTGCGGATTATTATTAGTACTTTATAAATTCACATGCTTTTTTTTTTGATAAATTAGAAATAGCGTAAATTACTACTTGCGGTCAACGAAATTATTCAAAATTTGACAGAAAGCAGAGAATTAAATCTTTCACTTATATGTGAAATTTCATTTATTTATCTGAAAAAGTACTCAAGTTATAGGCTTTTGAAAAATTGAAAGTAGAAAAAGTTCCACTTCCGGTTATCGGAAATTGATCAAAAGTTGATACGGATCTACGATTTTGATATAATACTTATATATGAAATTTCAGCAGTTTTGCTGTAACGTTACTCAAATTATCGTGTTTACAGACACACACAAACACAAACACACATATATACACAAACAGAGACATGCGGACAAGATTGCAAAATTATGTTTTTCCAACTCAGAGAGTTGTAAAACTTCGAGATTTGCAAAAACCTCTATTTTTTTTCACGATTATAAGAATTTCTCTGGTGACAGGACAAATGATCTCAGGACAAATGATCTCAGACAAAATATCTCAGACAAAATATCTCACGGACAAATGATCTCTTGACAAATGATCTCAAGGACAAATGATCAGGACAAAAGATATCATGGACAAATGATCTCACACAATATCTCTCAAACAAAATATCTAACAGCAAAATTTTAAAAGTGTATTGGATAATTTGAGTTGATCCGAACATTTTTTTATTGACTATCATATGGTTTTGTTTACTATGTTTAATACTGTTTATAGGCCTATATAATAATTGTAAAAATGTTTGCCGTATAAATTTGCCCTATTGTACTAAGCATTTTAAAATTAAGATTACTAATATAGTATGCGAAGATTAAAGAATTTGTTTCGATAGACGACGTAGATGTGCTTGACAAACATGAAACAATCCTACCACGTCAGGTGGACGAAACTAGATCAAAGGGAATGAAATAACAATAAAGATACACCTTCGAATCAAGGTGGCCTCTTTGATGGCAGAGATACGCCTTATTGGAAAGACATCCGCCCTCCATGGACAAGACATCTAGCATCCAAAGTCTATTGTTATGCGTCGGTCACACCTTAGTGATCAGGTGACAAATGCTTATTTAAACGACAGCGGTCATCGCGGAGCGAAGTTTGTCGTAGCGTACATGCGAACAAAGCAGTATTATTGGTGATTAAGGCCTCTTTCGTTACCTCGAAGATAGGGTATAGGGCATTAGTTTCTAATGAATTTCTGTTTATAAAAGCCATAAATAGAGCAGCAGGCAAAGAGATTTGGAAATGTCAAGTAAGAACATGTAGGCTACACCGAAAGCTCACACAATACATGATCACATAGTATTGGAAATGTGTGATCATAACAATGTACCTGCCAGCAAAGTAACGTAAACTTTATTTTTGTGTTAATGATGCAATAAAAACAACATTTTTAAGTTACGAACCTGAAGACCCATTCACATTTGTTTGTTAAGTTTAACAAATTCATTTTATAACAATCAATTATTATGCGTAAAAAGAGTAAACAAAACCATATTGACAGTCAATTTAAAAAAAGTTCAAATCAACTAAAATCATCGTACATCCTAATAAATTTTGCTGTGAGATATTTTGTCTGAGATATTTTGTCTGAGATCATTTGTCCATGATATCATTTGTCCTGATATATTTTGTCCTGGTATCTTTTGTCCGTGATATAAGGTCTGTTTCCCAACATCAACATACACAAAAATTAAATCATGACAAAACATCCATTGAGAGAGAATTTGGGGTTAATGATAATTTGTATCTGAGAAATTATGGGAGAGGGGAAAATGGATGCCAGGTCAAATTGTTCAATGTACAGGACCTGTGTCTTATAAAGTAAAAACAAATAATGGACTTATTGTTCGTAGACATGCAGACCAGTTAAAAATAACTTGTGCAGATAATAAGTGTGAATCTATCAATCCCACCAGATCTGACCGGTTCACACCAACTCAGTTTGTTCCACAACCAAAGTCTGTTGATATGAGTGAACCAAGTATTCTAGAGTCAGAAAATGTAAATTCTGGAATTAATGATTTAGATCCTGGACTTCCTGAGCTAGAGAGTCCAGATGGTCAGAATCTTGAGTCACCAAATCAACAGCCACTGAGAAGGTCAAACAGGACAATCAAAGTAGTTTATTTATATTAAATAATATAACATCCCCTTGCACCACAACACCCTGACTATACTAATCCAAATACAAATAAAAATGTTTGGTAAATTACTATTATATTATTAGTAATTTTGTGTTTAAATATTTTTAGCCTTAGTAAAACCGGAAGTGACTTTGTACTTATTTCACAAATGTTTTAAAATATTCAATTTTGGTTCAAAAATATGCTTTCTGGCAACACAAAGTGGAACCACTTTTGGAACCACTTTTCCATTCTATTTTATGAAATTTCGTCTATGTAACTTCACTGGCGCTCTAGTTATTATCTTTTATGAAACTGGAAGTAGAGTATGTACCATTTTCAGTTACTGGATTTGCTCAAACGTTGATACAAAACTGCACATTTGATATTTTCTGATCTTGAAAGTGACATGGGGGGGGGGGGGGCAGGGCAGACTCCATAAGATAGTTAAAATACTCTTGGAAACATTTATCTTAAGCTGAAAATCTTGCGATGAGCTCACACTGAGATGTTCAACATCTGAAATGTTGAGCCTGAGACCATTCTTTCTTTACTGAAACCGCAAAAGCGTCGGGCTAATTCTGAAGTGATCGATAGAGAAAAAGTTTTGATTACCTGTAAAAGAGAATTTAGAATTTTGACTATTCCTAAAAGGGAGGCGAGTATGATGGCGATGGAGACGATAAGCAGCAGGCTCCCTGCGACCTTGTCGGTGATGTCACTCAAAGCAAACAAGTTATTGCCTGAGGATGAGACAATTATCATACTCAGTTTTATTGGCCACAATCACACGGGGTCATGTTTTTTTTTTTATAACTGAAGAGAACAGAACAAGTACAAACTAACAGACTAAGTACCAAAAAAAAGTAATAACAAGCGTACACCATACAACACTCAATGCAAAAACATCACACCTGATTCTTTTAATCTTTGTAAAATTAATTTCTATTTCATTTAACTTAAGTAATATTAAAAAGGTTCAATGGTAGCAATCGTACATAATGGAAATAATGAGTTTAATACAGTTCCTTACACACACTTTACACACCTCTCTATCGAACTTCCTCAGTGAAACTAAAATAATTGTTAACACATTCGTTTTGTTCATCTTTTATCACGTTGTTTTGGAAGACTTTTTGTTGGAAACCAATGTGTCGCAAGCCAAATGGAGCTTATAGTGAATATGATGTATATGCAACTTACACTTTGTGCGGAACAATGTCGAGTTGACAACCTGGGTGTGGTTCCAGCCTAGGAACAACCCAACCGCAGATTGCCCTCGACCACTCAGATATTGTTTTGTACAGCTGGCGTAGAACGGGGAATCTCGCTGGATCTGAGTACAGTCTACATGCACTGGGTCGTAACGCATCACGGACACCGTTTTCTCAACAACAGTCACCTGACACCACCTCTTCATGACAGAAGATTCAGCGGTCACATTAGGCGCCATGGCTATGTCTGTGATAACATCTCTGTTGATCTGTTCAAAACATTACAATAAAAATACGAGTAAATATTTGTGTCAATAAAAAGCTAAATGTCAGTTCCTAACTACGTCATTTTAGAATCGTGAAACTGTTCAAACTATAACAAGATATTTGAACGTATTGAACGTATTGAACGTATTTTCCATTTTAAAAAACTCTGGATCTGTTTTCTATACGAGTGGCCACCATTTGTGTTCCTGTCTTAGATAATGCTTGTTGTATTAGATATTGCTGATTGTATTAGATATTGCTGGCTGTCTTATATATTGCTGGCTGTCTTATATATTGCTGGCTGTCTTATATATTGCTGGCTGTATTAGATATTGCTGGCTGTTGTATATATTGCTGGCTGTATTAGATATTGCTGGCTGTCGTATATATTGCTGGCTGTATTAGATATTGCTGGCTGTATTAAATATTGCTGGCTGTATTAAATATTGCTGGATATATTAAATATTGCTGGCTATCTTATATATTGCTGGCTTTATTAGATATTGCTGGATGTATTGTATATTGCTGGCTGTATTAGATATTGCTGGCTGTCGTATATATTGCTGGCTGTATTAAATATTGCTGGTTGTATTAGATATTGCTGGATGTATTGTGTATTGCTGGCTGTATTAGATATTGCTGGCTGTCGTATATATTGCTGGCTGTATTAAATATTGCTGGTTGTATTATATATTGCTGGCTGTATTAGATATTGCTGGCTGTATTAGATATTGTTTGCTGTATTAGATATAGCTGGCTGTATTAGATATTGTTTGCTGTATTCGATATTGCTGGCTGTCGTATATATTGCTGGCTGTATTAGATATTGCTGGCTATATTAAATATTGCTGGCTGTATTAGATATTGCTGGATGTTTTAGATATAGCTGGCTGTATTAGATATTGCTGGCTGTATTAGATATAGCTGGCTGTTTTAGATATTGCTGGATGTATGATATATTGTTGGCTGTATTAGATATATCCGGCTGTATTAGATATTGCTGGCTGTATTAGATATAGCTGGCTATTTTAGATATTGCTGGATGTATGATATATTATTGGCTGTATTAGATATAGCCGGATGTATTACATATTGCTGGCTGTATTAGATATAGCTGGCTATTTTAGATATTGCTGGATGTATGATATATTATTGGCTGTATTAGATATAGCCGGATGTATTACATATTGCTGGCTGTATTAGATATTACTAGCTGTATTAAATATTGCTGGCTGTATAAGATATAGCTGGCTGTATTAGATATTGCTGGCTGTATTAGATATAGCTGGCTGTATTAGATATAGCTGGCTGTATTAGATCTAGCGGGCTGTTTCTCTAATCATGTTTTAGATAATGCTTGGTGTTTCTCTAAATAACTATTTAAAATTAATTGGTCTTACTCAAAACTATTGTTACACATTTTAGTTTCTCCTGAATGAACTTTTTATTCTAAACTCCGTGATGCCGATTTTATGAAAATATCTCAATAAATGAATAAAGCAGGAGTAATCTCCCCTAAACTTTCTTGTTTATTCACAATTTCATACTAGATAAATGGCCCGTTGATGGTGAAATTTAACGGGCGTTAAGTTGATAATGTTTTCTTTTTCTCTAAACCAAACCCGAAATTGTTAAATTATCCGGAAACGGACATTGTAACCGGTAACGAATTTTAACCCGAAACGGAACTTTATCCGGAGACAAAAAATGACTCAAACGGAAATTTATCCGCAACCTGAAATGAACCGTTAATAGAAAACGAACTTTATTCGGAACCGGTATCTTAATCTGATCTGGAAATTGAAAATGGAGTAAAACCCAAAATAACCTTAACCATATCCGTAATCCCAACTCTGACGTTTACTACGTTTTTTTTTTCAAGTTTTTTTTAATATCTACATCTATATAGGCCTACTACTAAAACTCAAGTTTGTTTACATGTTTGAATATTTTTGGTTTTGTTTTTTTGTTTGTTTGTCTGTTTGGTTACAGGAGAGCATCTGCACTATGTGTAGGGCTGTAAAATCGTATTTTGGTAGAGAACAATGTTGGATTATGCTTCTGTATTGTGGAGCGGCCGCTTTATAACTTAACAGCGTCCTCTACTATCATTACAAAAAGGGCTATAAAACTGGTTACTGGCTTGTCCAGTAGTCTGGATTCTATTATTGCTACTAATATACTTCCTTTAAATAAAAAGATAAAATATAATAAAGCAATTTTTTAATATAAAATATTCCACGAAACAGCCCCCTCTTACTTATCGGACATATTTTCTTTTAACACAAAATTAAATCGTCGCCTTCATTTACCGATCCCATATACAACTTTTTTCCAAAAACATAGCTTCGCCTACTCTGGTTCTCATTTGTGGAACCATCTTCCTAATAAAATAAAATTATATAGATCTGCAAATATATTCAAAACTAAACTTAAACAACAATTATTTTATGACCTCTCAAACTGACTTATTGCAACATTTCTCATTCATCTATTATACTCTTATTTTATCTCATTTTGTATTAAAACTATGTAATATTATTTCTTAATTTCACATTTTAGTGCTATGTTACTTCTATGTCTTTACTACGCATTTGCTTTTTTTAAATGCTGTTATTAAATTGTTGTTTTATTTGTTTATTTTAAAACGGCCAATGTGAAAAAAGGCCTGCGTGCCTATTATTGTTACCGTTATTGTTACCGTTATAAAATAAATAAATTTTTTTTTTTTAAAGATGTTAATTAATTTGTCGATTTATTCATTGGTAGATTAACCACATTAATTATAAAAGATCAGACCATGACTTTAGTGTCATCACATGATTTATTTACTTTTTATAACAATAATATTAGCTTCCATCGAAGATTTTGTAGCTCATTCAAAAGTTCAAAGCATTATAAAGCTAATTTTCTGTCGGCTTTAGCTTTAACGATACGTCCGTTTGCTATTATCAATTTTCAACAGTTCTTCTAATTTGATTATATAATAAATTTCTCTAGATCTAGAACCTACAGATCAGCTGTCGAAGAAACGAAAAGTTATAGATCTAGAATCTAGGTCAAATCAAAATTAATTAGTTAAAAATAAAACCACTATAAAATCACAATAAATTTTTTAGTTTCTTTATTAAACTAGATCTATTTTAGTCCTTGAATTTTTTATATAAATCTTTGCTTTTTAGCTTCAAGGATCATCTAATTCAAGTTTACAAGGGATTTATCTATACTATCTACTAGGTTCTAGATCTATAACTCGGAAAGACTTGACTAGACTTAAATAACCAAACCAGTCGTAGAATCTAGATAACTCTATCTAGATCTAGATAATAATGAGTTTCTATACTAAACTGTTTCAGACATTCATTATTTTATATAAATCTGTGTGTGTTTAGCTATGGAATTGGTTAATTTGGGATAAAATTTAATTTGAAATAATACTAGGGCCTATTTGCGTAAATCAAGTTTCTTACACAGACTCAAAGTATTAATATAGAGCACAAAAAACGTCACTGACAAGAAGAGCCCAAATAGATATGGTGTTAGTGTAATAGGCTTCCATACGGGTGGCACGGGTTCGAGACACATCATGTCATTTTTAATTTTTTATTTCAATTTTTTTTTAGATGTGAATGATAAAGTTGCCTATCGGAACTTGGCGGGATACAGAGCAGATGAAGTAGAGTTCACCTGTTTCTTTGTCCTCAGCAGATGACGTGGATAGTGTGGTCAGAGACTTGCTAGGCCGAAATCTTTTTTTTTAAAGATAAAACATGTTGTCTGAGACTTGGCGGAACACTGAGTGGGTTGGAAGATAAGCCCGGTGAGAACCAAAGGACAGAAGCGACCGATACACGGTAATCAAACGGATATCCAAGCCAGTTAGTCGGAGTTTGTCGTGTTGATGCCTACCTGGCTAGTGGCAGACACCCCATGAGCCGGTGATGTCAGTAAAGAAAAAAAAAGTTAAGAGCTTCTAAAGTGGATTGGGATAGTCCTGTAGTTTGGCATGTATGAATACATACTATTTCATATTTAAAGCTATTTATTTTAAATAAATAAAAAATAAACTTATTTACATAATTCTAATCAAATACCCAATATTGAAATAAAAATGTTAGTGGCTCTTTAAATCCGGAAAATTTTGTAAATTGTTACTTTTGGCTCTTTCGTCTCAAAAGGTTGCCGAACCCTGGGCTAGGTTGATAGTATTGTATTTTTCTGTAAACCGAAACCAAAATAAAAATCCCCATCTGAACCTCAATTTTACCTGGAAAGCGGAGAGTTAAATAATTTATTGAAAACGGATTTTTAACCAATATCGACATTTTAACCGAATGTAGAAATTTGGCCGGATACGGAAATTGGGGTAGCAACGAAAACAATTTAAGCGGAAACGAAATTTAATAGAAAAGGAATTTTGCTCAGAATGAGTATTTTGTTCGGTAAGCGAAAGTGGAACTTATTCTACTTTGAATTTTTCAAATGCCTATAACTTGAGTACTATTTCAGATAAATAAATAAGATATCACATGTAAGTAAAAGACCTAATTCTCTGCTCTCCTACAAATATTGAGTAATTTTTGCTGACCGGAAGTAGTAATTTACGCTATTTCCGATTTCTCAAATAACGCATGTGAATTTATAAAGTACTAATAATATTCCGCACTATTATACACATTGTTTTGCGTTCACTTGATGCGCAATTTTTTTTCTACGAGATTTTATTCTATTTTTATAAAGTTTAAGTAATTAAAAATGGATTAAAAATCATGTCTGTATCCCGAGTTGCCATGCCCCTTAGTGTTAAATACGAATATTCGAGAAAGTTTAAGGGAGATCACTCCCATTTTATTTATCGTGCAATCAATAGCGCAGTTAGTGTTGTGTACTTTTCGTAGCATTTTTATTAACAAAACAATTATTCTCGCATAAAAAAAATAGAATGCAGAAGAGCGAACCGTAGACCCCACGACCCGACGACCCCACGACTTCTAACCTGACAGTCTCAAGTTCGGATCCAGGGCTCGAGTTATTAGGACGTCTTCGAGTCCACCCAGATCTGATGGTATGATCCCCCATATGCCTGGGTCAGTAACCTAGATCTGATGGTATGATCCCCCATATGCCTGGGTCAGTAACCTAGATCTGATGGTATGATCCCCCATATGCCTGGGTCAGTAACCCAAATCTGATGGTATGATCGCCCATATGCCTGGGTCAGTAACCCAAATCTGATGGTATGTTCCCCCATATGCCTGGGTCAGTAACCTAAATCTGATGGTATGATCCCCCATATGCCTGGGTCAGTAACCTAAATCTGATGGTATGTTCCCACATATGCCTGGGTCAGTAACCTAGATCTGATGGTATGATCCCCCATATGCGTGGGTCAGTAAAACTATTTGCAGCTTTTATTTGCACCTGTGATGCCTATTAGCCTTACCTGTGGTGCCTATTAGCTTTACCTGTGGTGCCTATTAGTCTCACCTGTGGGCCTATTAGCCTTACCTGTGGTGCCTATTAGCCTTACTTTTTGTGCCTATTAGTCTCACCTGTGGTGCCTATTAGCTTCACCTGTGATGCCTATTAGCTGTGTCTTCCAGACTTTTTTCTCCGGGGGGGCACTTGGAATTTTCGGGGGGGGGCGGTAGACTTTCTTCGGGGGGGGGGGGGGGTGGACACTGATAAAAGTATATATTTTCTATATAAATTATATAAATTTCATTTCGTTCGGGGGGGGGGGGCGGTAAAATTTTTTCGGGGGGGGGGGGGGGGGGGGGCTTCGCCCCCCCGAAGAGATGCCTGGAAGAAACTCTGCCTATTAGCCTCACCTGTGGTGCCTATTAGCCTTACCTGTGGTGCCTGTTAGCCTTACCTGTGGTGCCTATTAGCCTAATAACTAACCTCTAACCCTAAGCACACACCACTTACTCTAACCACTAACCACTAACCACTAACCACTAACCACTAACCACTAACCACTAACCACTAACCACTAACCACTAACCACTAACCACTAACCACTAACCACTAACCACTAACCACTAACCACTAACCACTAACCACTAACCACTAACCACTAACCACTAACCACTAACCACTAACCACTAACCACTAACCACTAACCACTAACCACTAACCACTAACCACTAACCACTAACCACTAACCACTAACCACTAACCACTAACCACTAACCACTAACCACTAACCACTAACCACTAACCACTAACCACTAACCACTAACCACTAACCACTAACCACTCACCAGTCACCAGTCACCACTAACCACTCACCCCTTACCACTAACCACTCACTACTCACCACTAACCACTCACTACTCACCACTAACCACTAACCACTAACCACTCACTACTAACCACTAACCACTCACCTCTACAATGAGTTCAGTAAATGGTCTGGTTAAGGCAGTCAACAGTTCTATTTTAAAGTTGTCTGAGCGGAGGTTCATGCACTCCACAATAGCTTTGGTCAGGTGGTAAAGGTAGCTGGTGGCTACTTCTAGTGGTAGCAGGACTAGCACAGCACTCCAATTGAACATGTCATGGACCTAAACAAATTGGCTTAGTGAACATGTCATGGACCTAAACAAATTGGCTAAGTGAGCATGTCATGGACCTAAATAAATTGGTTTAGTGAACATGTCATGGACCTAAACAAATTGGCTAAGTGAACATGTCATGGACCTAAACAAATTGGCTAAGTGAACATGTCATGGACCTAAACAAATTGGCTAAGTGAACATGTCATGGACCTAAACAAATTGGCTAAGTGAACATGTCATGGACCTAAACAAATTGGCTAAGTGAACATGTCATGGACCTAAACAAATTGGCTAAGTGAACATGTCATGGACCTAAACAAATTGGCTAAGTGAACATGTCATGGACCTAAACAAATTGGCTAAGTGAACATGTCATGGACCTAAACAAATTGGCTAAGTGAACATGTCATGGACCTAAACAAATTGGCTAAGTGAACATGTCATGGACCTAAACAAATTGGCTTAGTGAACATGTCATGGACCTAAATAAATTGGCTAAGTGAACATGTCATGGACCTAAACAAATTGGCTAAGTGAACATGTCATGGACCTAAACAAATTGGCTTAGTGAACATGTCATGGACCTAAATAAATTGGCTAAGTGAGCATGTCATGGACCTAAACAAATTGGCTAAGTGAGCATGTCATGGACCTAAACAAATTGGCTTTGTGAACATGTCATGGACCTAAACAAATTGGCTAAGTGAACATGTCATGGACCTAAACAAATTGGCTAAGTGAACATGTCATGGACCTAAACAAATTGGCTAAGTGAACATGTCATGGACCTAAACAAATTGGCTAAGTGAACATGTCATGGACCTAAACAAATTGGCTAAGTGAACATGTCATGGACCTAAACAAATTGGCTAAGTGAACATGTCATGGACCTAAACAAATTGGCTAAGTGAACATGTCATGGACCTAAACAAATTGGCTTAGTGAACATGTCATGGACCTAAATAAATTGGCTAAGTGAACATGTCATGGACCTAAACAAATTGGCTAAGTGAACATGTCATGGACCTAAACAAATTGGCTAAGTGAACATGTCATGGACCTAAACAAATTGGTTTAGTGAACATGTCATTGACGTAAATATAAAGGTTAGGTGAACAGGTCATGGACCTAAACAAATTGGCTAAGTGAACATGTCATGGACCTAAACAAATTGGCTAAGTGAACATGTCATGGACCTAAACAAATTGGTTTAGTGAACATTTCATTAACCTAAACAAATTGGTTTAGTGAACATGTCATGGACCTAAACAAATTGGCTAAGTGAACATGTCATGGACCTAAACAAATTGGTTTAGTGAACATTTCATTGACCTAAACAAATTGGTTTAGTGAACATGTCATGGACCTAAACAAATTGGTTTAGTGAACATGTCATGGACCTAAACAAATTGGTTTAGTGAACATGTCATGGACCTAAACAAATTGGCTTAGTGAACATGTCATTGACGTTAATATAAAGGTTAGGTGAACAGGTCAAGATTTGATGACAATGTAATTTCACATCAAATTTTACTGAAGTAAATGTGTAATTGATGTTTAAGATCTCATAAAACTATTCTATACAAAGTACTATTTTCGGTTGTTTATGTTCATTTGGTTTACAAATGCCTTACCGTCGCCCCAGCAAACGCCCTTCTGAACTCAGACCTATCACCCACTTGGGCGAGAGACACTAAAGTACTTGTGATAGACGTGCCCACATTGGTTCCCATAATGATTGGGATAGCAGCTCGAATAGGAATTACTGTTGATAGAAGCATTTATTGCAATGTAGGAATTACTGTTGGTAAATAAATTAGCAGAAGAATAAAATAAATTCAAGAATACAAATGGATATTTATGAAATCTATATGCAAAGACAGAAGCTTATGTTTATCTTGTTGGGTTTAGTGTCTGAATAACAGCAAGAGATATGGCAATGGCTGCGCTTGACGTGTCAGTGACTGTCAACATTTGCGACAGTCATAACCCCAGTCCTTATAAATGGCGCTTCAAACTAATTCAGTTTAATATTATTTTCCAAGGATTAATATTTTGTGTATTGCTTAATAAAGCTGTTAGTAATTGCACCCAGAATGACTGTTGTTTTTGTCTTTTAGTTTGATTAAGCTGATGTTAGCGTGGAACATATCTCTTCTTCAACAGATTTGAAGCCCCTAAATGAAAGACACAAAAACCACGTGACAACACCATATGACAACACCATATGACAACACCATATGACAACACCATATGATTAGTTTTGGTGGGTGATGGCCTTACCAGACACCACTGTGGGTTAGTGACTGAAAGAAAACATATTCTACTACTTTAAGACATAACAATCAGGCACAGGGGGGAGGGGTGGGGGGAGTCCATAGGATTGTTAGCTTCTGTAACATAATCGACAAAAGAACAAGTCCAAATAGTTTCATATTAATTTTCATTATATGCTTTATTCAACACAGATAAGATGTGTCGCTATGCCAACACTAGAAATTGTCTCACAAGCTTTGTACCTCCTCCTCCCTCCCCCATTTTGTGCCCCACGGGTTGTGTTGTCACTCACCTTCAGAGGCTACCATAGCTACAACAATTGAGGTTGCAGTAGAGGAGCTCTGGACCAAAACTGTAGCCAACACGCCAATCATCAGACCTGCCACAGGGTTGGATAGGATCTCACTGTTTCTAAAGGTCTCACCTGCCGCACGTCCTGTGTATGTACCGACAGGTGGGTTATGTGTTGGCTGCCACACGTCACACACACACATATACACACATACACACCACATCCCCCACACCACACACACACACTACACACACACACCACACCACACCCACACACACACACACACACCACACACACACACACCACACCACACACACACACGACATACACACACCACACACTCACATATACACACACACCACACACCACACACACACACACCACACCACACACACACACGACATACACACACCACACACTCACATATACACACACACCACACACACCACACACACACGCCACACCACACCACACACACACACGACATACACACACCACACACTCACATATACACACACACTACACACACCACACACACACGCCACACCACACCACACACACACACGACACACACACACCACACACTCACATATACACACACACCACACACACACACACACCAGACACACACATGCGCGAACGCAGCACGCAAACACGCCCGCATGCACGCAGAGTTTACCCCCTAGGAGTTGAAACGAATCCTCCATCAATCCGAGCGCGCAGATAAAGAAATACAGTATACAGAGGAGTATGATAACTTTGCAAAAGATTGACATCACTCGAAGTGGCTTTTTGAATGGGTGAAGTTCTGAAATATTCCAATAGTGCTTGAGTGAGGTCATTGGATCGGACCAGATGATTATATATATATATATATATATATATATATATATATATATATATATATATATATATATATATATATATAGATACATGCATACATACATACATACATACATACATATAAATCACTACGATGTTCATTATCCTGTCATTATGATGGACATTGTCCTGTCTTTATGCGTATATTGTCTTGTTAATGCCTGACGGATTGTCCTTAAATACTTACCTTTCCAAGGGATTTGTTTTTTTACTTTTTGTGTTTGTCTTGTAGCAGTTTCGTTTAGCAGCCATGTTGAAGTCTGTACACTGACCTCAACATTCTGGTCCACCTGATGGATAACAGAGTGCTCGGAGTATGCGCACATATATACAACTAGTGTTGTCTATACAGTTAATGCTGTCTATACAGTTAATGCTGTCTATACAGTTAATGCTGTCTATACAACTAGTGTTGTCTATACAGTTAATGCTGTCTATACAACTAGTGTTGTCTATACAGTTAATGCTGTCTATACAGTTAATGCTGTCAATACAGTTAATGCTGTCTATACATTTAGTGCTGTCTATACAACTAGTGCTGTCTATACAACTAGTGCTGTCTATACAACTAGTGCTGTCTATACAGTTAATGCTGTCTATATACAGGGTTCCCACAATTTTTTGACCAGAAAATTCCCTGCTTTTCCAAGAAATTCCCTGCTATTTCAAGTATAAATTCCCTGCTATTCAAAGAAATTCCCTGCTATTTTTCATTTAAATTTCAACGCGCATAATTTTTGACCAAACACTTGCCAAATTAAATTTAATTAAACCACACAAAAGCAGGCATTTTTTAGGGGTGCCACTCATTTTCTCATTTTTAAGTGAATCAAATCATTAACTTCAATCAGCGGCGGAACTAGAAAAAAAGGGCCACCCCGCCAAAAAATAAATTTAGCCCCCCCTATATATACATATAAGTATATATATATATATATATATATATATATATATATATATATATATATATATATATATATATATATATATATATATATATATATATATATATATATATATATATATATATATATATATATATATATACAAACACAAAATACGAACATAGGCTACTCATTGCTGGCCTGTTCAGGTTTTGAAAAAAAATTGTTTTTTTTTTCAATTAAAACAAATTACAACATCATGTCTTGTGTGTAAAGTGCATTAGTGTTTTGTGAAAATCAGTTTTTTTTTATTTATTTATTTATTTATTTATTTATTTTTTTTTTTTGTGAATTTGAAATCAAATCAACAGTATGTGAAAATCAGTTTATTTTATCTTTGCTTTAATCTTAGTAAGACATCATAACATATAGTCGGTCAAAAGGATATAAAACATGAAAGCTTTGTAAAAGTAATGGTGTCTCGTGTTATGTTTATTTTTATGATTTTTTTTGCATTTATATTATAAATTTTAAATACATTTCCTTCTTATACAGTATCATTCTTTAGTAAGTACTTTATAAAAAAAATTAAGAGAAGTAATTGCTTTTTTTTTGTTTAGTACAAATCTATTAAAATAAAAGGAGCTTATAAGCACCCCTATTTGACTATTTAAAAAAGGGAAATAAGTCATGGAAGTGGTTTGAACGTTTGCTTATTTTTGATAAGTTTGATTGTAGGAGAAAGAGGACTCGGCTTTCACAGTTGTTTCAAAACGAAGGGAAAACAGAATATACGAAATAGAATGAAGATAATCCAACCGCAGCTACTGTAATCTTTTTACATAACAACCATCAAGTCAAAAATGCAAGAAAATTAATTTTTTTAACTATAAAAAAAATTATTATGGTCGGCCGTGGGCCCCTAAATGGCGTGCCCCCCCCCCGCATTGCGGGGTCTGGCGGCACTGTAGTTCCGCCCCTGACTTCAATCCCAAAACATAAATTTTTAAACCCTGAAACTTGATGTCCCATCAGCAATTTTTAAAAATATAATTTGACATTTTTTTTTTATTTTTTTTTATTTTTTTTTATTTTTTTTTATTAGTTCATAGTATTTATTGAAGTATAGTACATATACATTGATGTGCACATTTACAAAATATTTTTGTTCATTTAAAATTCCAATAGTTGATGTCTTATGTATTTTCCCCTCTCAATACTATCAACAATTTGATTTCTTAAACATGCACATTGTTCAGACATCACAAAGAGACATGTATGTATATATTGACAGATCAGAAACACCAATAAAATCCTTACACGAAATACTCTTGTGTCTATTATTTTATATCTATGGTTGATTCACCTGCGCCTCTTGGCGTTCTCAGAGGCTGGGCTGTTAGTAGAGGACACATGCCTTGTGCGCTTTGTTCTTTTGGGGGAGGGTTCATGAGAACCAGGTGTTTTGCTGGAACTGTGGTTAGATTTAGTCTCTGAGCGTATTGGCGTATTCAGACGATTCTCAGCTTTGCTGGCTGAGGCTTTACTTTCAGACTTCACCTCACTTTTGGGTGTGTGACTGGATGATTTTGAATCATGTTTGCTCTCAGACTTAGGGGTATGGCTGATGGGTTTAAATTCTTGTTTAATATCAGATTTTGGGGTGTGGCTACTTGACTTGGAATCATGCTTATCGGGCTTGGGTGTATGGCCAGGTGGCCTGGATTCTTGCTTGATATCTGATTTTGAAGAATGACTGGATGGCTTTGAATCTTGCTTTTCAGACTTGGAGGTATGACCTGCTGGCTTAGAGTCTTGTTTGCTTTCTGATTTTGGGGTATAGATGGTAGGCTTAGCATCATGTTTAAATTCAGACTTTGGGGTATGACTTGCTGATTTTGATTCCAGTTTGTTTTCAGACTTTGGGGTAAGGCTGATTGGCTTGAAATCTAGTTTGCTTTCTGATTTAGAGGTATGGTTTGAAGGCTTAGGGTCTGACTTGCTACTCTTACTAGATATCTTCACCTGACCTTCTGATTTGCCATCTTCTGTGGAAGGTAAGCCAAAGAATGGGGTTCTTGGAAAACGTTGATCATTCATTTCATTTTCATGCAACTCAAACTCTCCCTCTTTGTTTGGAAATGGCAAAATTTCTGATTCATTCAGTGCTTGCAAATCATAAAGGGTTGACAGGTGAGTCCTAATATCTTGAGCAGAAATCTTTTTACACATTGAGCTAAGTCTATCATGAATTGATAACATTTGGAAGTGTCGATTTACTCCTGCTGGTTTGTGCCCTCGCATTGCATGAAAAAGATTAACTTCCATATCAATATTCCACATTGTTTCATTTGAATCTCCAGACATCATGAAGGTTGGCTAATACACAAAAAGTAATAAAGTAGGCCCCTTTTGACTAAAATTAAAATTGTATGTATTGTAATATACCCAAACAGTTGAAAGAGAGCCAATATAATTTGACATTACTTAATTTTCGAGACATTTGATTCATATTATGTTATATTTTTGTATGCATTATATTGATGATTTTAACTTTATAACAATCTTTAAACAAAAAAAAATATTTGAAGGATTGTGCATATAACAAAAATAGTTTAAAATAGTAGACGCATCTTGATCCCATAATGTAATATTACATTTCTAGAACCTTCCCCAATACAAAACAACTGTTTATGTTAATACAATTCATATGAATATAGTGAGTTGAGATGATAGTTGTCACACTTTGAAACCTAATCTAAATAAACCGGTAGTGATCTCCCCTAAACTTTCTCGAATATTCTTATATAAAACAACAGGGGATGGTAACTGGGGATATAGTTATGATTTTTAATCCATTTTAAATACTGAAACTTTTAAAAATAGAATAGAATCTCAGTAAAAAACAATTGCGCACCAAGCGAACGCCTAATAAAGGTGTGTATAATAGTGCGCAATAGTATTAGTACTTAATAAATTTACATTAGTTTTTTGAGAAATCGGAAGTAGCGTAAATTACTACTTCCGGTCAACGGAAATTACTCAGAATTTAACAGAAGGTAGAGAATTAGATCTTTTACTTACATGTGAAATTTCATTTATCTATCTGAAATAGTACTCAAGTTATAGGCTTTTGAAAAATTCAAAGTAGAAAAAGTACCACTTCCGGTTGTCGGAAATCGCTCAAAAGTTGATACGGATCTACGATTTTGATATAATACTTATATATGAAATTTCATCAACCTAGCTGTAACGGTACTCAAGTTATCGTGTTTACACACGGACACACACACACACAGACATACTGACAAGATTGCAAAATTATGTTTTTCCGTATCAGTGAGGTGTAAAACGTCGAGATTAGTAAAAATCTCGATTTTTTTTTTTTGCACGATTACAATACTTTCTCTATACTACGTATATACGAGAAAGTAAAAGTTGTAGAAATGTGCATTGCAGTTTGTAATATATCTAAGTAGGCCTATTTAATTTTAGCACTTCCTATATTGAGTTCAATATAGTGTGTAGTCAGCCAAAAGTGTGTAGTTATTCACTCAACTAACAAACTGTAAACAGCAAATAATTTGCTTAAAGAAAAGATGTTTGAAAAATCTCCCTGATGCTATTATTGTACTAATTAATAACTTTGTAAAGCTAATATCTAAAATTAGAGACGTTTCTGATACTATGAAATAAGGGGTCATCAATGAATGACAACACGCTTTTTTGACGATTTTTACCTCCCCCTCCCCTCCGTCACAAAAAGCCAGACGACACACCTCAGCCTACATCCCCCCTCAAAATTGAGTTGACTTTATCTTAAAATACGATATTTTTCCAAAATCTTTTCTGAACTCTGTCAACTTAGAGTACTTTAATCAATTCCTATTAAAATTTATTAAAACAGTTTTCTAAAACGCAAAAAAAAACGGCAAACGTTTGTTTTCTAACATTGCAATTTTATAATGCAAAAGTGTGACGTCACATAATCTGAACCGCCCCCCCCCCCCCCCTCTCATCACACACCGTCAAAAAATTATGGATCCCCCATCCCCCTACGAGTGTGACGTCATTTATGGACGACTCCTAATACTGAAACAGTTTTTTTTTAAAGTTCACAAAAATGAAATTCTTTTTTTTACTTTCTCGTATATACGAAGTATAGAGAAAGTATTGTAATCGTGCAAAAAAATCTCTTGAAATTTTAACAATTTTCACCGTATTACACCTCAGTCCTTCATCACATCCGAAGTATAGAGGACTTATTTTAATCGGGCAAAAATTATCAATCCAGATTTATCAAAATTAAGAGGTTTTATGCGTAATCCATTCTGAAAAACTTGGCTTTGCAATTATGTCCGTATGTCTGTGTGTGCGTCTGTCTGTGTGTAAACACGATTACTTGAGTACCGTTACAGCTAGGTTGATGAAATTTCATATATAAGTATTTTATCAAAATCGTAGATCCGTATCAACTTTTGAGCGATTTCGGATAACCGGAAGTGGTACTTTTTCTACTTTGAATTTTTCAAAAGCCTATAACTTGAGTACTATTTCAGATAGATAAATGAAATTTCACATGTGAGTAAAAGATCTAATTTTCTACCTTCTGTTAAATTTTGAGGAATTTCCGTTGACCGGAAGTAGTAATTTACGCTACTTCCTATTTCTCAAAAAACTAATGTAAATTTTTAAAGTACTAATAATATTGCGCACTATTATGCACTTTTTTATTTGGCGTTCACTTGGTGTGCAATTTTTTTGTCTACGAGATTTTATTCTATTTTTAAAACTTTAAGTATTTAAAATGGATTAAAAATCATGTCTATAGCCCGAGTTCCCATCCCCTGTTGTTTTATATAAGAATATTCGAGAAAGTTTAGGGGAGATCACTCCCGGTTTATTTTCAAAATTGAACTTATTTAAACTGTAATGATCATTCGCACTGTTTTCAACTTAATGTTTATGTCATTTCTTAGAGGTACATGTATTTTTTAAACCTAAAGGGGCCTAATATTAACTTCAACATTTTAGTTTGATAGAGATCAACCGGAACAACTGAAATTAGTTCATAGGCCAATTTTCCTATTTGAAATAAATCGTATTTTGAAGGAAATTTTTTTTTTTAAATATATCTGAGCCAAACAGACCTATACTTATGACAATAGTTAAAGTAAAGTTTCCCTTTCAAACGTGACGGTCTATGTGGCAAGTGAAGTAGAGTTCATTTGTTTCTGTGACCTCGGCATATGAAGAGACAATAGTAAACACATCAATATGTATGCTTTTCAAATAGCCTTAGACTGCTATTAAAAATTGACGATATGCCCCCCCCCCCAACCAGACAACGTGGAGAGGTCATTGTGAAGGCCTATAGCATACGTCATAACATGAACAGCTGCTATTTGAGATAGCTAGCTGATGATATCACTGTATCCTCCCCCACCTCCAAAAAAAAAACCACCATGCAGTTTGGACGCGTGGGCCTACTTGGGGTCACAGTGAATTCATGAAAGCCCCATTTACTCCAGTTGTTACGATTTTTATCCCCCCTCTCCCCATGAAATAATTGTTGTTGACCCATACGCATTTGAGATTGTTGGTGACGTCACTGGCCTTTAATTATTTTTTAGCAAGAAATGCTGGCTTTCGCAATTTAAAAAAAAAATCTGTGTTTCTCCCTAGTTCAGTATCGCTGGCTAACCGTGAAATAGTCTGCTAGAATAGATGATAATATTGAACAAGACTGTACTCGCGCGCGATCCTAGCCCTTTAATAAAGTTTATTTATGTCCAGCTCTAGACTACACGGCGAGTTCAAATAAGCCAAAAAAAAATAAAAAAAATCACGTGTAGACTAAACTAAATTTTAAACCAATCCTGAAAAAAAAATGTCGTCACGCCAATGTTCTGTAACCATAAGGCTTAGCCCTAGCATAGCAGTAGATGTAACATGTACGCTTGCGTCATGGGCAGATCACGAGCAGAGTTTCTTCCAGGCATCTCTTCGGGGGGGGGGGGGGCGAAGAAAGTCTACCGCCTCCACCCGAAAATTTCAAGTGCCCCCCCCCCCCCCCCCCCCCCATGAGAAAAAAGTCTGGAAGAAACACTGATCTCGAGAGACGCGGCGAGACTAGTCACAGGATAGGCATATACCCGCTCCAAATCTCGGGATACTCGGGGAAAAAACCGGGAAGCAAGATTTCCCGTTTTTTTAAACATATTTCCCGGCTATTCGTCGAAATTCCCGGTTTTCCCGGCCGGGAAATTAAATTTCGAAATTCCTGTTTTTTTTTTTTCCGGTTTCCCGGCTGCGTGTGAATCCTGTATATCACTAGTTCTGAAACAAAAATGTTGGTTAGGTTCATCAAATAATTAAACTACAATCTACTAAAACCTACAACTTACTGCAACCTATTACAACCTACTACAACCTGCTACAGTCTACTTAACCTTTTACAACCTAATAACTCCTATCTTATCAAATTTGATGGTAGAACTAGCCCAAATTGACCAATGTTTATCCTGCTTGTTCAATTGTTTGTATATCATTTTTTTTTGTCTAATGATTTGGTAGGTGTATTATATTTTCATTATTCTAACATTGTTGGTATATCCTAATTTCAGACTTGCAAAATTACCTATCATATTTTTAGCCTTCAACTTTAACAATGTTGTATGAATAACTAATTTTCAGCGGAGTACAAATGAAAGCATATCATATTTTTCTTGTAATATTTATTGTATGTGTATATGATTTTCAGCCTTGTTATATTGTATGTGTTACATATTTTTAGACTTCTAAAATTGTACGTGGGGCCTATACCATTATTTCAGATTTGTAAAATTTTATGTATATCATATTATCTACCTTTTGAAAATTTTATGTATTTTTATTTTCTCGTACACGAAGTATAGAGGAAGTATTGTAATCGTGCAAGAAAAAAAAAATCGACAAATCTGGACGTTTTACACCTCCCTGAATCGCACAAACATTTTGCAATCTTCTCCGTATGTTTGTGTTTGTAACTTATACAAAGGAAGTATTGTAATCGTGCAAAAAATAAATAAATCGCGATTTTTACACATCTCGACGTTTTACACCTCCCTGAGTCGAAATGAACTGGGAGTGATCTCCCTAAACTTTCTCGAATATTCTAATATAACACTACGGGGGATGGCAACTCGGGACATAGACAATATTTGTATTTCATTTCTAATTACTTAAACTTTTTTTATAATAAAATACAATCTCGTAAAAAAAAAAGAATTGCACACCAAGTGAACGCCAAATAAAATATGCATAATAGTGCGGGATATTATTAGTACTTTATAAATTCACATGCGTTTTTTTAGAAATCGGAAATAGCGTAAATTACTACTTCTGGTTGACGGAAATTACTCAAAATTTTATAGAAGGCAGAGAATTAGAACTTTTACTTACATGTGCAATTTCATTCATCTATCTGAAACAGTACTCAAGTTATAGGCTTTTGAAAAATTCTAAGTAGAAAAAGTTCCACTTCCGTTTATCGGAAATCGCTGAAAAGTTGAGACGTATCTACGATTTTGATATACTACTTATATATGAAATTTCATCAACCTAGCTGTAACAGTACTAATGTTATCGTGTTTACACTCACACAGACACACAGACACACAGACACACAGACACACAGACACACAGACACACAGACACACAGACACACAGACATACGGACAAGATTGCAAAACTATGTTTTTCCGACTCAGGGAGCCCTAAAACGTCGAGATTTGCAAAAATCGCGATTTTTTTTCACGATTACAAGACTTTCTCTATACTTCGTATGTACGAGAAAGTTGAAACATAGTTTTGCAATTTTGTTCGTATGTCTGTCTGTGTGTATGTGTGTATATATGAGTGATTGTATTCTTGTGTGTCTGTGAACACGATAACTATAGTACCTTTACATCTAGGTTGATGAAATTTCATATACAAGTATAATATCATATTTGCATTTCTGTATCAACTTTACAGCGATTTCCAGTAACTGGAAGTGGTAACTTATTCTTTTTTCAATTTTTTTAGAAGACTATAACTTGCCTACTGTTTCAGATAAACGAAATTTCACATGTCAGTAAACGATTTAATTCACTGCCATCTGTCATTTTCGATTTCTCAAAAAACGCATGTGAATTTTTAAAAAAAGCACTAATAATATTCCGCAGTATTATATACATAATGTTTGGCGTTCACTTGGTGCGCAATTCTTTTTTTACGAGATTTTTTTTTCTATTTTAAAAAGTTTAAGTCATTTAAAATGGATTAAAAATCATGTCTATATACCTAGTTGCCATCCCCCGTAGTGTTAAATAAGAATATTCGAGAAAGTTTAAGGGAGATAACTTCCGGTTTATTATGTTTGTAAGATTGTATGTAGCCTATATAATATTTACAACCTTGTAAAATTATTGTTTATCATATTTTCAGCAATTTGTATTGTTTCTCATCAGACAAAAAGAAGTAGTTCATTATATTTCAAAAATCATTTTGAGTAGTGGTTTGATCGAACCATTTGAGAGACCGTTTATAGGGCATTTAATGTCTATTCTCGATGGAAATATATGATACAAACGGATTAGAGTTTGGACTAAATTAATTGCATGCTAATGGCTTAGAGTTTAGACTAAATTAATTCAATAAAAATGGCTTAGATTTCGGGCTAAATTAATTGAAAACAAACGGCTTAGAGTTTGGATTAAATGAATTAACTTACCATTTTTTCTTTCTGAATACGAGACCTTCAGATTTTTCTGTTGCTTACACTAAACCTAAATTAAGTTAGCAACTGTCTGCGTTTTAATTAAAACTACATACAACCTTCATACATCTACATAAACGTCCTTCATCCTTCATAAACTACCTGCGTCCTACATAAAACTACCTGCGTCCTACATAAAACTACATGCGATCCACCTTAGACATTAAAACACTTAACACAGAAGTTGACATGCGAAATTTCTCATCTGAAATCAGAAAGTAGAATTGTTCTTTTTAAGGCATTAGCAAATACATCAGCGGTTCTAAATACCTGTTCCCAGTATACCACCTGTTCTAAGTATTTGGTTCCCAGTATACCATCTGTTCTAAGTATTTGGTTCCCAGTATACCATCTGTTCTAAGTATTTGGTTCCCAGTATACCATCTGTTCTAAGTATTGGGTTCCCTGTCTACCACCTGTTCTAAGTATTGGGTTCCCTGTATACCATCTGTTCTAAGTATTTGGTTCCCAGTATACCATCTGTTCTAAGTATTTGGTTCCCTGTATACCATCTGTTCTAAGTATTTGGTTCCCAGTATACCATCTGTTCTAAGTATTTGGTTCCCAGTATACCATCTGTTATAAGTATTTGGTTCCCAGTATACCATCTGTTCTAAGTATTTGGTTCCCAGTATACCATCTGTTCTAAGTATTTGGTTCCCAGTATACCACCTGTTCTAAGTATTGGGTTCCCTGTATACCACCTGTTCTAAGTATTGGGTTCCCTGTAATACACCTGTTCTAAGTCAGTGGCGTAGCTACCGTAATGCTAGCGACAGCAAGGCATAGGGACCCAACGCACATAGGGGACCTTTTCCCTCCTAAAAAAATTAATATTGGTTTTATTTAAATAATAGTAAAAAGAAAAAGGAAATCCTGTTTCTTTTCTACTGCAGAAATAATTAGAAGTTCCAAAAAGGCCCCCAGTTCCCACTTTACTGGCGCTATTAATCTTATAAGTTTTTGGTTTTCATCCAATCGCCAAGAATTTTTTTGGGAAGTCGTTGTGAATACTTAAGACAGTGATTTTTCCCAGACATTTTTCTGAAAACGTGCCTGAAAGAAACTCTGGCATTGGGGAAAGTTTCTAGCATTAAACTTTTTTTTTATGGCGGCGCCCCGGCAGTAAGGCGGTGCTGTTTCCAAACGTCTATCTTTGCACCTGGGGTCCGTTAATTGAAAGTCCGGCGCAGCGTCAAATTTGCACAGATGCATCAGCCGGCGCCCCGGCGGTCACGTAACCCGGTGCACCATGGGCTCCCCATTGAGCTCTAAGGCGCCTTTATTAGTTTTAATCGATAACTAAATCAAATAAGGTGTGTCCTCCAGAGAATCAGCAGTGGTAAAGGTTGGACGCCCCGAGATAGCAAGCGGCTACCTGTGTGCAAGGTATCCGTTCACTCAGCGTCATGCAGGGTTGCTACTAATAAAAAGAGTAAACAGCAACAGGGGCGGCCTTCAGCGCCCCGGCTTATGGATAACAGCAAGCACAGGAGCACCCTACGGTGGGCCTCTTCGTTCGATGATTAAACTGAACCAGGGTAGCATCCGGCTAGTGTAATACGTCACTCCCGCGACACCCTTAGGCGGTCGCCGAAATGTGTTCAACCTCACTATTACGGAGGATTATTTACGTACACTCATGGCTTTCATACAGCACACGCAAGGGCGTCTGACCGGTAGTGTGGACAAACCCGCGCCCCAGCAACAAAGATCCGAAAAAAAAAATAACCATAGCGTTGTTTACCATTTAACTATCTCAATTTTAGAAAATAAGGTTGCACGACTACAAATACACAATTGGTAACGCGTTGATGAAACCCTTACACAATGTTTCATTACACTGGTATGTGGGACTAGATCGCAACAACGAGGAAGAGTATGCATGCTTCAGATAAAGATTCTTTACAATTCCACTGTGATCATGAAGGAGAATTTGATGTCTATGATGGATTTTTTAATATCATTATTTGTTCATTATAATGCTGTTAATTTGTTTTGAAACGAATTGTAGGTATGCTCATTAGGTCAGTAACTTAACCATCCTAAGTATCTAACATAAAGAAGCAGCTAAAATAGATCTCAAGGAACTTATTATTTATTTTTCAAAATTAAAAGATTGAGAAGAAACAGATCTAAATAAATCACGATCAGTTTTTTTTAAATGTGTTAGTGGCGTCACAAGGTCGGATGTTCCCCTATGAGTTTACCAAAGATGTCACTTATCTTTTATTATTTTAACTGAATACAACAATTTTTAAAAATAAATTCTACAATGTTTCGTCATGGTGTCACGCCTTAATGTTGCCAGCCTATGCGGACCGCACCTCTGCCCCCCGTCTTGTGACCCTACTGTGTTTGGTTACTTGAAAAACAAAGTGACGGTAAGACTGACACATTTTTACAAAACTACAGGGTTGTATGCCTACATGATAATATAGTATACATAAACAATCAGGTTGCATAAAATACAAAATGTACAGAATATTTATATTATTAAAATCCTACATCTAAGTAGCAGTTGATTTCTTCGTTTCACTCTGTTGTAGCCTAACAGCTGACAAAGGTGACCACTGATAATCTTTGCACAGAGGCCCGGAAATCCTAGCTACGCCACTGTTCAAAGTACTTGTGTATACCATCGGTTCTAATTTGTTACTGCACTTGTAGACATGGTCGACAGTACTAGAGTCCCGAGGCCATTGTCTCAATAGAGGCCACCGTCGAAATAGAGGCCATCATCACAATAGTTTAGAGGTCACCGTCACAATAGCTTAATGGCCACATTTACGATAGTCACAATAGTCTTAGTTCAGAGGTCACCGTCACAATAGTTCAAGTTTCCTATAAGCTAACCCCAGCACATGTTTACAACCAGCCCACTTTGTATAGTGAAGCACGACTAATCAGCCTCAGATGTGCCTCATCACATTGCATTCTTAATTATGTCTTAGATATACATTATCTTCCACGATGATGTTATTGGTACTGTTATGCATAATGTAATATTTTTTTATTGTTGCGATATTTCGATGGTTGACAGGATCAATTGTAAAAATGTATAAGTTTTACATCCCCTGAGTCGGAATATCTCAGATTTGAAATCTCGCATGTAAGTGTGCATGTGCATGTGAATCGCGATAAGTTGAGGACCGTTTCTGTTAGGTTGACATTTCAAATATTAGTTTATTACATCCAATTTGTATTTTTCGAACAGCTTTTGAGTCCTTTCCGATAACAGGGAGGGTCACTCACTCTACTTCCGATTTATTGAAAGCCGATAGCGTTAGGTAAACAAAATTCCATATAGAAGTATTAGATAGTATGTGCAGATTTCAGTCAACCTTTGAACGTTTTTTGATTTGGATAAGTGGTCGTTTATTTCAGCGAGGAAACAATACGTTGAATACTGTTTTAGTTTGGCAGACGAAATTATGAATATTCGAATCAGATTGCTTATTTAAATGTTTACTAATTTTGGATATCCCGAAGTGGCACTACTCTATTTCAGGTTTCTGAAATAATGATAAATTCAGTATCTTTTCCGCTAGGTGGACGAAATTATAGGCATATACAATTTATACCCTGTTTCCCAACTTGTTAGCGATGTTCAGTAAACATATTGCCGTTTCCCAGTGAACATAATGCCGTTTCTATTAAGTGGATGTAAATTTCTTACCAGTGGCGTAGCGAGGTTGGGTGTCACCCGGTGCGGCACTTAATGGTGTCATCCCCCGTAAAAAATTATATATATATATATATATATATATATATATATATATATATATATATATATATGTATATATAAATATATAAATATAAACATAAATATATATATATATATATATATATATATATACATATATAAGCATATATAAATATATACAAATATAAACATATATATATATAAACATATATATACATACATATATATATATATATATATATATATATATATATATATATATATATATATATATACACATATATATATATATAAGCATATATATATTTACACACACACACACACACATATATATATATATATATATATATATATATATATATATATATATATATTTAGCATGCTTTCTCTATCATTAGCAAGTTTACGTCATGGTGTCACCCTCCCTCCTCCATCCTTGTCGGGATTTGTCAAATTTGCTCTTAAAAGACTATTTAACACTCTAATTAATCACTTAATTAAGTGGAATTATTCTTTTTCTGAATATATTTTGCTATTTTTGTCTTGGTGTCATCACCATAAAAGGTGTCACCCGGTGCGGTCCGCACCCCGCTCCTCCCCCTCGCTACGCCCCTGTTTCTTACAGCAGGATTAGTTCCTAACTGTATGTAGATTACTACGAACGTTTTAGCCGTTTATAACATACGAGCCGGCCCGCGGCATATCATATGCCGCTACTTAGTTGTTTTTTCTACTTTTCAGTAATTCACTGAAACTCGCTGCCACTGAAAATATTTCTTTAAAACACTATAAGTAGCTCGTTAGGGACGATAACCCCCCCCTCCTTTCCCCCCTCCGTTAAAGTAAACTCCACTTAGGTTACCCCCCACGTTTAAAATCGTTTCAAACTAAATTATCTACCCCTAATAGTCGTCACTAAACCCGGCTCTGCTTGTAAACATTTAGCGTGAACAACAGCTCACCAGACCATGTAGGGGTGGGGGTGGTAGGGAGCGCGCCTACAGCTTGTTTTCAAGCGTCTCCCAGAAGAGAATTATATATAACATATTGTGAGATAACAACATATTCTATGAATATATAATATATATATATATATATATATATATATATATATATATATATATATATATATATATATATATATATATATATGTATGTATATATATATATATATATATATATATATATATATATATATATATATATATATATATATATATATATATATATATATATATATATATATATATATATATATATATACATATATCCCGATTGCGCTAAAATTGACATCCCAACCCTTACTGCTATTTTTGACTGTACGAGATGGAACATAGGAGCTTATTCTCGCTTTATATTCTACTAAATTAAGAGCTTTAACAAACCTTACCCGAAAACCAAATCCGGAGCAGAAAACTGAGAGAAAATACGTTTAGGCTAGCGAGATTAAAGATAGAACTCCACTTTTATTAGGATAAGCTATAAGATAGTACAGTGTATTAGGATAAGCTGTAAGATAGTGCCGTGTATCAGGATAAGCTAAAAGATAGTACAATGTATCAGGATAAGCTATAAGATAGTACAGTTTATTAGGATAAGCTACAAGATAGTACAGTGTATCAGGATAAGCTATAAGATAGTACAGTGTATTATGATAAGCTATAAGATAGTACAGTGTATTATGATAAGCTATAAGATAGTACAGTGCATCATGGTAAGCTATAAGATAGTACAGTGTATCTAGATAAGCTATAAGATAGTACAGTGCATCATGGTAAGCTATAAGATAGTACAGTGTATTATGATAAGCTATAAGATAGTACAGTGTATTATGATAAGCTATAAGATAGTACAGTGTATTATGATAAGCTATAAGATAGTACAGTGCATCATGGTAAGCTATAAGATAGTACAGTGTATCTAGATAAGCTATAAGATAGTACAGTGCATCATGGTAAGCTATAAGATAGTACAGTGCATCATGGTAAGCTATAAGATAGTACAGTGTATCTAGATAAGCTATAAGATAGTACAGTGCATCATGGTAAGCTATAAGATAGTACAGTGCATCATGGTAAGCTATAAGATAGTACAGTGTATCTAGATAAGCTATAAGATAGTACAGTGCATCATGGTAAGCTATAAGATAGTACAGTGCATCATGGTAAGCTATAAGATAGTACAGTGTATCTAGATAAGCTATAAGATAGTACAGTGCATCATGGTAAGCTATAAGATAGTACAGTGTATCTAGATAAGCTATAAGATAGTACAGTGCATCATGGTAAGCTATAAGATAGTACAGTGTATCAGGATAAGCTATAAGATAGTACAGTGCATCATGGTAAGCTATAAGATAGTACAGTGTATCAGGATAAGCTATAAGATAGTACAGAGACACTTGAGGCAAACAAAAAAAAAGCGTGAATATTTATCATCACTATATTATCATTTTAACACTATGACATCTTATTGTAATTACATCTTTTATTAACAACATCTTTTTCGACATCATTTATTTACATCTTTTAGGGAGAAATTCTCTAATAACACTTTCTATAGATACCTTCTTCAGTGTAGAAAACAACTTAATAAAAGCCCATTATTTATGGCCCCAAAACTTAATAACCTCTACCTTAAATCCACCCCAACCCCACATGAACTAAGTGTAGCTAGCCCCAGCCATGAATCATACACGTCTTAGGGTCAAGCCAGACTCCTAAAATTGTTAATAGATGTTGACTTAAGCTTTTATATGACCTTGACCTATAAGATATATGAAACCGTGAGATCAGAGTGGCCATCATGACCTTGAGATCAGAGTTGCCATCATGACCTTGAGATCAGAGTTGCCATTATGACCTTGAGATCAGAGTGGCCATCATGACCTTGAGATCAGAGTTGCCATTATGACCTTGAGATCAGAGTGGCCATCATGACCTTGAGATCAGAGTGGCCATTATGACCTTGAAATCAGAGTGGCCATTATGACCTTGAGATCAGAGTGGCCATCATGACCTTGAGATCAGAGTGGCCATTACGACCTTGAGATCAGAGTGGCCATCATGACCTTGAGATCAGAGTGGCCATTATGACCTTGAGATCAGAGTTGCCATTATGACCTTGAGATCAGAGTGTCCATCATGACCTTGAGATCAGAGTGGCCATCATGACCTTGAGATCAGAGTGGCCATCATGACCTTGAGATCAGAGTGGCCATTATGACCTTGAGATCAGAGTTGCCATTATGACCTTGAGATCAGAGTGGCCATCATGACCTCTACACTGTTGTTGAACCTCAACGTTAATTCACGTTGATCTCTGCTTGTGCCACTCGCAGTTTTTTAGAAATTTTTTTATTTTCCCATCGAAACAAAAGTAGATTGATGCAGAGCGTGATGGTGACTACCACATTAATGGCCATGTCTACACCAGAGAGGAAGTATCTGTAATAAATAAATATAGATTAAACGCTGTAGGCCCTACTTCATATTTTTCCAAACAATCTTTTGAATATTCAATAAATTATTTGACAAAGTAGTTACATGAATACATTTTAAATAGTTTTGTAAGCGGAGACCACAGGTGGTTTGTTCGCAGCTGGGGTTCGGTCACAAGCGCTTTCTCAACACAAAGGTAAGGATTAACTAAACAAATGATAAATAAAAGTATGTTTGTGTATAAGTATTGTCCCTTATGCATTACTAAACCTTTCATCCGATCGCTATGTAACTTTGCTTAGTATATGAGAATACGCCAAGGGAGGTTTCTGTGGAAAAAAATTCAATTTCACAGGTGCGGCGCCTCGGCAGGGTGCGGTTTGTCGCCCCTGGTTATCTGGTGAGCGCTATAGCCTCTACGTTCGGTTAGAACAGTGCGATAGACTATGGATAAGATGGATATTATAGTCTTTCACCAACATTAATGTTTGCAATGTACATTAAAGGAGATCTACATTATTTATATGTCAGACATTCTTCCTGTGGTATCATTTTTAGAACTGTGATTGAGATTTTAGTACATGTTACTTTCTATTAAAGCTACTCAAAGGGAACTCGACATTAAATACATTATGAATTTAAACTAACTAACGGTCTAGAATTACTGTTATGAAAATTACTCGTGGATAAAAAACCTTTGATGAAAGCCCCGCAATGGGCAATGCCACTAAGGCATTCATTTGGAATTAGTGATCGAAAGATAGGCCTAGTTCTGATTCATCAATTAAAATGTATAAAAACACATCAACACTACCTTATCTGATCTCGGTCGTAGACTGTGCAAACTTTGTCGTCTCGTACCAAACACGTCGCATCAATGACAGTCCCAAAAATATTTGGGGAGGGGATGGCAACTGCATGAGAAATAGATTTGGTGAGTGGGCAATTAAAATACAAATATACAATGATGGGTGGATGGCAACTACATGACAAACAAATTTGTTTACTAATCGTTACAAATGTGCCATTAGATTACTTGTGTTATATTCCGAGTTGCCATCCCACGGAGTGTTATATAAGAATATTCGAGAAAGTTTAGGGGAGATTACTCCCGGTTTATTTAATTTACTTATGTTATATAAATTATAAAGACACTGTTTTTTACTTTACCCATACTATACAAATTATCAAATTATGTGCCTGATGTGTTTTGTGATTTACCTATGTTATAAAAAAACATAAAGAAACTCATAGCAAAAGCCCTGTCCCTTGGGTCAACCATTCTAAATAGAGAAAAAACAAAGTTGTTAATTTACAAAGTAAACATAAGGTAATGAAAAGGTTGTAGTAAAATCAACTGTTAATTTACAAAGTAAACATAAGGTAATGAAAAGGTTGTATTAAAAAAACAATTGTTAATTTACAAAGTAAACATAAGGTAATGAAAAGGTTGTATTAAAAAACAATTGTTAATTTACAAAGTAAACATAAGGTAATGAAAAGGTTGTATTAAAAAACAATTGTTAATTTACAAAGTAAACATAAGGTAATGAAAAGGTTGTATTAAAAAAAACACCTGTTAATTCACAAAGTAAACATTTATTAAGGTAATGAAAAGGTAGTATTAGAAAAAAAAACTATTAATTTACAAATTAAACATAAGGTTATGAAAGGGTTGTTTTAAAAAACAACGTTTAGAGTTTAGATTGATTAGGTCTACACACTATAGACCTAATATTAATTGATTTTAAGGTTTCGCGTTTTTACATCTACTTATTTGTTTAGTAAATGTTTTGTTATTATTTTAATAGTTTTATAGTAATGACTATTGAATATTTAGTTGAAATAGTTGTGTATTCCTAAAGAATATCTATAGGCCTACAACGGAACCTTTCATTCAAATGCTACCTAATACAGCAGAACTAACCTCAGTAGTAGCAGTTGTCTTGGGATCTGTGACACACCGTCAAAAAATTTTTGGGCTCCCTGAATGGCAATGTAGACGATAAAATTTGTTTGGCAATCTGATGGACACAGACCTGGCACTGCCGTCCTCCCGGTGGTGTTCAGGGCGCAGTCGGTAAACATCTGGTGATGTATCACAAAATCAGTCGGTAAACATCTGTTGATGTATCACAAAATCAGTCGGTAAACATCTGTTGATGTATCACAAAATCAGTCGGTAAACATCTGTTGATGTATCACAAAATCAGTCGGTAAACATCTGTTGATGTATCACAAAATCAGTCGGTAAACATCTGTTGATGTATCACAAAATCAGTCGGTAAACATCTGGTGATGTATCACAAAATCAGTCGGTAAACATCTGTTGATGTATCACAAAATCAGTCGGTAAACATCTGATGATGTATCACAAAATCAGTCGGTAAACATCTGATGATGTATCAGTGCTCGATCACGTCGATGTTTGTTGACTTGGTAAAATACAAATACAATGGGTTTCAAACTATACGATTCACGTCGAAAGGTAATTTAAATGGCAAGCTTCGGTAGTTAAATTTAGTAGTTAGCTTATATGGTTACCTTGGGTGTTTAGTATGTAAGTTGTTAGCTCATGTTATGATAGATTATAAATATCTATCATGGTGTCTCCACCTCTCCCCCCTTCTTGCTACCCCACAGGTAACGGTACACACCTGGACCTGAGTCCAGCGGTATTGTAAGGCTGACCGGGCCTCAACCTCGGACTGCGGTCACGAGGGCGGAGCCTGAGTCATGTGACCTGTAGTGTAGGGACCCCACAGTCCGGTCACTCTACCTTCTCCCCTCTTCGGAGGTACACGTTTTTTTTGGTGCTAAGGCACTAGCCATTATAAAATTATACTTATTTTGGTGCTACGGCACTTGTTCTCCACGGAGAAATTAAACGTACGTGTTGGCAACGTGTGTAGAGGATTGTGTGGCTTCATTTGAAGGTACTTGACACTTACCTTTATTAACTGTACTGCTATAAATTAATCAATATGTATGAAATGTGTCTAAAACAATGTTTGAACGAAAAAAGATATATTTTTTTAGTAATGTTTATGGTAGGCCTTGTGTAAGGCTAATGTAAATGTATTATCTTTGTAACAATAGTAAAATGGTATGTCACACAGATGTTAGGAAGTTTGTCAAATGTATTTTACATCCAACCAGCTTGGGGCTAAAGAGACGCTACAGAGGTCTGTGTGTGAGCAAGTGTGACCACGCCGCCCTGAAGACCAGACTCCCATTTCAGGCTGACTTAAGTTAAAACGTTGCTCTTTTAACCTTCATGCATTAAAAGTTAAATGATTGTTAATTATTGACTCATAATTTTAAACACTTTCACCGAGCCAAATATTGGCAAGCAGTCAATAATAATAACATAACATTAATAAACACAATATTAACCATTAAGGGACCTCTTGTCCAAGGAGACAAACCCTAGACCAAACAAGTCATTCTGTAGCTGCGGCTAAATTCGGATCCTAATGTGGAATTCCGACTATGCGGCCTTAGATTCTTTTTTGTATGCTAATAAGTCAACGACTCATCTTTTTAGATAATATAGCCATCATCGAATCCCTTTAGATAATCTAGCAATCATCTAATCCCTTTAGATAATCTAGCCATCATCTAATCCCTTTAGATAATCTAGCCATCATCTAATCCCTTTAGATAATCTAGCCATCATCTAATCCCTTTAGATAATCTAGCCATCATCTAATCCCTTTAGATAATCTAGCCATCATCTAATCCCTTTAGATAATCTAGCCATCCTCTAATCCCTTTAGATAATCTAGCCATCCTCTAATCTCTTTAGATAATCTAAACCTACCTTTCCGACAACACTGCGACAGCCGGCATAACACGGTGACAGGTAGCTGTTGCCATCGTCTGCACAAACCAGCAGCTGTTTCTTTCCATCGCAGTCACAGCCATCCGTCAGATTTACAGCTAGACCACTAGAACAAACATCACAGCTATCCGTCAGATTTACAGCTAGACCACTAGAACAAACATCACAGCTATCCGTCAGATTTACAGCTAGACCACTAGAACAAACATCACAGCCATTCGTCAGATTTACAGCTAGACCACTAGAACAAACATCACAGCTATCCGTCAGATTTACAGCTAGACCACTAGAACAAACTTCACAGCCATTCGTCAGATTTACAGCTAGACCACTAGAACAAACTTCACAGCCATCCGTCAGATTTACAGCTAGACCACTAGAACAAACATCACAGCTATCCGTCAGATTTACAGCTAGACCACTAGAACAGGGGTCTCCAAACTTTTCAGCCCGAGGGCCGCATTTACTATCAAATAACAGTTCGGGGGCCAGAGTTTCTTTAAGCCCCCCCCCCCCTTCCCCGAAGAACATCTACCACCCCTCCCCCAACGAAATATAATTTATGTAGAATATATACAAATTTCAAGTGTCCACCCCCGCACCCCCCACCCCCACCCGAGGTCCACATTTGCTCTCAAATTGCTCTTCACGTATTTCATTCTTGAAAATGTTTGTTCACACTGGTTCGAAAATTTGAAAGGTACTTTGATGCAGAAGTTTTAATATTAGGAAAGTCTTCCTTGTGCAAAAACGTATGAAAACCCACCTGCCCTTCTTTGAACGTGTCTCTAAGGAAGTCATTTTCTTGCAATTCAATTCAATTACTTCCAGCGGCAGTTCATCTTTGCAACTGGCCACACTTGTTACAAATGGGCTTTGAAACAGTCTCACTTCTTCTGCCTATGAATCCAAGTAAGAAAACCACTACTGGAACTGCAGCTGGAGGTCTTTGCTGATCTCGCATGCAAATGACGTGGGGAACTCAGTGGTTGTTTCAGCCGTAAAGACCTTGCACTGCTGAAAGTGTGTCAAGTAGTTAGCCTGTACTTGTTCCAAAAACATGACAAGTTTGTATCTAAAGGCCATTATGTAGATGTATAGATCAGAAACGGGATTTCACTCTGTTGCCGTTTTAGGTTCAGAAAATTTAAATGACTAGTTATGTCTGCAGTAGAGGCCGATTTCTATACCCACTCTTCATCAGACAAAAATGGCTGTGACTTGACTTTACTATCAGGAAGTCACCTATTTCTTTTCTTTGATACTCTGCTCAGAATTTTCTCGCAAAATTAGCAATCTTACTGATTTGAAATATGGTAAATCTTGCGTTTTTGTGTTTGTCTCTGAACTATTTATGGTTAGATATCCTCTCCGGTAACAGTGTCATACATTATGTAGGGAAGCCAGCTCTTGTGTTATGTTCATGTCTTCATCCACACCTCTAATGAACACAAGCAGTTGAGAGGTGGAACAGTTGTCCAGCGACTCATCACTTGCAATTGAAAAATGGCTGAACTTCCTTGAATTTTTCGGTATTAGAGTCACTATGTTTTCACCAATGTCTGCAACACAAAGCTACATTTTCAAATAGTTTTGAATTTTCTGTGCAAAGCTCCTCAGCCACCTACAACAAACAACGGGACTTAGTTTGGAGACCCCTGCACTAGAACAAACGTGTAAGGGGCTGGGGAGTTATTTAATTATTTCTTTATTACAAAAAGGTGAATGTCACTTTTTTTGTTCCTTTGGGGCTTGTTGTGGTTTTTATGGCACTGATATGATTTTGATTTTAAAATGGTTTATAGCCTGGTTATTGTGTCTTGTTTATATTTTGATGTTATTATTTATGCAAACTTTGTTTTAGAGTGTGGCTCCACTTTGCTTTATTTTCTGAATGTAAGTTATTGTTGTATTAGGGACTATTTCCTTGTGCGTAGTATTGGTTTTTAGTGCGTGAATGTGGTGTGTGGACAGGGGTCCGAAATTGTGTGTTTTGTTCCATTAAGTCTGTTTTGTTTTGTTTAGTCGTGTTTTGTCCCGTTGAGTTTTGTTTAGTCGTGCTTTGTGTATTCTGTAGTTTTTCATCTTTTTTATTTTGATTGGTTCCATGTAATACATTTTATTAAATTGTTAAAGTTTTTTTGTTTTTTAATTTAGACTAAGGTTAGGTTATTAACCAGTCTGGGTTTAGCCGGGCTTGAACTGACCGGACAGTAATAGATAAGCCAGGGAAGGGTAGATATATTTTAGTTACCCCCCCCCCCCCTAGCAGGGCTTACAAATTGGTAGCACGAGTGGGGTCAGTGCTTTAGTCTAGGTAAATTTTTGTTTTTTTGCTAGGGCTAGGTGTAGCTTAGTTAAATTTTTGTTCTTGATAGGCCCTTTTTGGATAGGCCCCTGTTTAGTTTTTGTTTAGTGTAGGAATTGTTTGTTGTTTAAAACACCCAATTCGGACGAGATGGCGGAGGCGGCACCAACCATCATCATCGTTCCACCCAGGGAGATCCTCATCAGGAAGTTTCATGGGGACAGCCATGGCTATGAGGTGGACCGATTCATCAAAGAGGTCCAGTCGTTCTGGAGGGCCAGGAGAGATCTCTCAGCAGAAGAGAGGAAGACCTTCTCTGGCAGTACCTGGGGGAAGCGGTGAGAGAGGAGCTGAGCTGCAGGGGTGATGACCTGCAGCATGACCCAGAAGCCACCCTCAGGCTCCTCCGAGAGGTGTATGGCGAAAAGAGGAGCGTTTCACAGCTCATGGCCCAGTTTCAGATGGTTGTACAGGGCCAACACGAGTCGGTGAGGGCCTACTCACACCGACTGAGCAGGGCCTTCAAGACCCTTGTTGCAAGACAGGGCACCCTGCAGGTCCCTCAGACGAATGCTGAGTTCCTAAGGGACCAGTTTATGGAAAACCTGAGCCAGTTCTCAGTCAGACGCCACCTGCAAGAGCTTGTTTTCCGGGACCCTAAGATCCCCTTCCTGGCCATACGTGATGCGGCCATCAGATGGGCAGGAGATGAAAACCCTCTTGCAGAACCTGCCTACGTGGCAGCAATAAATGCCAGACCAATTGAAAAATGTTCGTCCAGGTCCAAGCTGGAGGACAAAATCGACAGGCTCACAGAGCAGCTTGCTGCTCTGCTGACCCACGTTACACGGGACACCAGATTGTCCAATGTGCGCCAAGCACCTCGCAAGCGTCCAGAAGTCCAATCAAAGGGCTGCTATAACTGTCACCAGGGGTCACCTCGCCCGTCATTGCCATATGGCAAAGAAATATGAGCCCAAAGTGAATCGAAGTCCCACTGTTGAGAGGTCAGTTCCAGGCAACACCCTAGACAAGCTAGTTGGAAATTGTCCCCCCCCCCTAACAATCTATATTCGAGATGTCCCGGTGGTCGCAGCAATAGACAGTGGCTTCCAGGTCAGCACTGTCACTGAGACATTCTATAAGCAGTGTATGAAGAACATTGTGTTGCGGACAGACACCCACTTAACATTGAGGGCAGCTAATGGGTTGGCCATTCCATATAATGGCTACTTCATGACAGATCTGGTGGTCAACGGAGAGAAGCTGTGTGACAAGGGTTTCCTTGTCATTAAAGATCCAGTGGGAGGCTCCCCGTCACCATGCCTGCTTGGTATGAATGTGCTCCAAGACCTAAAAGCGTTAGCGTCTTTGATCAAGTCACCGAGAGTGGCGCCGAGGACAGGACAGGAAGGCACAACCCATAGTCCCATGGAACGGACCTTGATGCCGGTAGAATGCGTGTCTGCTGTTCAGGCAATTGGAGGACCCAGGGTGGTGCAGTCCCTTGGTCAGCCTTTTCACCCTGGTCCGTCAGTGGTATCAGGCCCAACATCCAGCCTACGTGCCAGCATAACCAGCGTAAGGGTGGACCAACCTGAGGAACCAGAGGCAGTTGTTCCACCTAACCCATCCTTAATTAAGGCACCGGGTGGTGGTGCTGGGGAGTGCCCCCAGACAGAGGCAAGCAAGAAGGACAAGCAGGTCAAAAATGCGCCAGTAGCTGAACTGGCCATGGGCGACTTGGTTCTTCTGAGACATCCCCCACTAGGCAGACGCAAAATGGCTGACCTGGACGGCCCGACAGTTTATGTCGTAGTCGAAGTACCCCCGATCACCGGCGGTGTTTCGCCATAAATAAGAAGGATGGTCCTTCTGGCACCCGCCGGGTGGCCAGCACCTAGATTATATGGGCCTAACAGGGTTCAACCTCCCTCCCCAAGGCATGTAAATTGAATCTCTGGCAGTTCCAGGCTACAATACTGTGTTCTCTTCTTATGTTTGGTATCTGCATTTTTGAGTTTTCAGTGCGTGAATGTGGTGTGTGGACAGAGAGGGACATTCTGCGTGAATGTTGAGGCCTGTGTGTTGAAGTGTTTCTGTACCACATTTATGTGGTGTATGGACGGTGGTCCGAAATTGTGTGTTTTGTTCCATTAAGTCTGTTTTGTTTTGTTTAGTCGTGTTTTGTCCCGTTGAGTTTTGTTTAGTCGTGCTTTGTGTATTCTGTAGTTTTTCATCTTTCTTATTTTGATTGGTTCCATGTAATAAATTTTATTAAATTGTTAAAGTTTTTTTGTTTTGTTATTTAGACTAAGGTTAGGTTATTAACCAGTCTGGGTTTAGCCGGGCTTGAACTGACCGGACAGTAATAGATAAGCCAGGGAAAGGTAGATAGATTTTAGTTATCCCCCTCCCCCCCTCCCTAGCAGGGCTTACAAACGTCACAGCCATCCGTCAGATTTACAGCTCGACCACTAGAACAAACGTCACAAGTGAGAACAATTTTGCACCACACAACACAGGTAAGAATAAGATCATCAACACAATACACAGGTGAGATAAAGATCATCAGCACAATACACAGGTGAGATAAAGATCATCAACACAATACACAGGTGAGATAAATATCATCAGCACAATAAACAGGTTAGATAAAGATCATCAACACAATACACAGGTGAGATAAAGATAATCAACACAATTCACAGGTGAGATAAAGTTCATCAACACAAAACACAGGTGAGATAAAGATCATCAACACAATAAACAGGTGAGATAAAGATCATCAACACAATACACAGGTGAGATAAAGCTCATCAACACAATACACAGGTGAGATAAAGATAATCAGCACAATAAACAGGTGAGATAAAGATCATCAGTACAATTCACAGGTGAGATAAAGAACATCAGCACAATTCACAGGTGAGATAAAGATCATCAACAGATATTGCAAGTAAGATCAGTTTTAGCAACACAGACACTGTCAGTAAGTAAAGTAAAGATTCCCTTTCAAACCTGACGGTCTATGGGGCAAGTGAAGTAGAGTTCACTTGTTTCTGTGACCTCGGCATATGAAGAGATAGTGTGGTCAGCACTATGCCCAGCCGCCTTTACTCTCCCTAACGTGAGTTAGGTACCCATCAGAGTTGGGTGGACTCAGGGACGGTCTACTGACTTGAACCCGGATTCGAACTCGAGACTTACGGGTTAGCAGTCCAGCTCTCTACCGCTAGACCACTCGGTCCCATAGACACTGTCAGAGGCTACCAAAAGACATTTAAGGAGGACAGAATTACAGAAGAAAATCCCAAGCTGTGGAAGAAGTTGTGCTGTGCCAACTCTGGCAAGACTACGAAAGAATTGTGACTGTTGAGGTATATGAAAGAACTTACTACTCTCCAACGTGTCCATACACTATTTGGTTGTCACAGCCAAAGAGGATGCTCAAAGGATTCATGCAAGTCTGTAGCAAGTATGTGGTCAGCATGATCCAAATATAGCCCGTGTTAGTGTGGACTCGGCTGGACAGCCAGGTACTGACTAATGTCCCAGTAATGTGACCAATGGCATCACTGATACCTTCAATACGATATCGTTATCTATATCTACATCTACATCTACATCTACATCTACATCTACATCTACATCTACATCTACATCTACATCTACATCTACATCTACATCTACATCTACATCTACATCTACATCTA